CTTTGAAAATCTTAAGCATCTTTTATTCCTTTATATTATTCCCTACATGAAAATGAATCAGCAACAGATCAGTTGACTGACTTCATAACAGAGCTAAAGATTTCACTGAATTCCAGTAAGAAGGTACCAATTTTCTTGCAAAATTTAGCAATTTATCTTACAGATTGTTTGAAATTTGGAATTGACCTATATAACCAGAAATTGAATAAGTATTTTCACATCTGATACTGATTTTTCAATCAGTATTTTCACAAAGATGGAGGGTTAAACTCATTCCAGATAGCCTTCAATTTTATAGCAAATTCAGGCATCAACTTTTGGACCTCTATCCAGTAAAATCATTACTCGTGTAAATCCTACTCAGGATAGGAAAAGAAAAGAAAAAAGGAAAAAGAAAAAAGAAAAAAGAAAAAAGAGAGAGTGAAGAAAAAGAAAAAACTATTAGACAAGAGAAACACCTCTGGCAAGTTAGCTGCATATTCACCCAGAATGTTATCGCTGCAAAAATCATGCTTTTGTCAACTACTAAATTGCCACTAAGCTACTGAACTGAGGATTTTGGAAGACAAAAATAATTCAATAAATCTATTAAGAACTGCTCATTTCAAGGTGTATCAATTAAAACAGCAAAAGTTTCAAACACAAGACCCTATATCAGAAACTTTCCTATAAGGTTTGAAAAAAATATACATAAGATAAAGAGCCAAGTACAATAGATTTCAAGAGACAAAGCAAATTTAAAAGCCATAGAAGCAAGTAAATACAAAATCAAATAATCTCTCTGACACTACATTCTCTGTCATAGCACAAACACTTCCTCACCTAACTATTATTTATATTAATGAAAACAAACTCTTCATACAAATATCAAAAATGTTCCCCAAAACAATACCTCAATACACTTCTCAATCTCTTTTATTCAGATCAAATGATTAAATTACACTTCTATGAAAAACAGGAAAGACAATCTGATGGGGAGCAAACAGCACCAGGCCTCACAGATGATACATGTCCAGAGGGAGCATCTACAGCTCAATAGCAGTGCAAAGTCATCGCAGGTGGGATCTTTAGGAAAAACACGATTCTAGCAGGTCACAAGTTTGTTTGTTCTTAAATCTATTTTTAGTGCAAACTCATTTTATAGAAGCTAATACAAGCCTCCAGTAACAGTGCTGGGCTTCTTTGGGGAAGATCTCACCCCAGTTGACTCCCCTTCTCTCCCTTTACCCCATCCACCACCCTTGCACTCAAGTTTGCTGTTGGCTTTTTGGAGTTCACCAGAAGCACTGGTGGTAGCTCACCAACTAGCATGCAGCTGATCACTGACTTCTAATATATCTAGTTAAAGGACTACGTAGTAACTCAAAAGAAAGCCCAGTATCCCATGACATAACCAATAGCTGTGGAAATGTTTGTTTTCAAATAGGAGCAAATGCTAGCAAGAAAAGGGGACAGAGATACCCAGATTTTATTTAAACCAAGCAAATTAACTTATTTTCCATTTTAATTAGTATTGTAAACATTAACTTAAGTTGTCTCAATCAATACTTAGTGTCTATAAGATCATAACAAATTTACACAAAAAAAATCAGTAATTCCATTTATGCCACTGCTAGAAATTATAGTATCACATTCATCTAATAAGTTGCTGTAGCTAAATGTTCTCTTTAAAAAAATATCTAGTTGCTGTAGCTAAATGTTCTCTTTAATGTTCTCTTTCTCTGTATCTTTATCTCAAGATTAAGATTATATTAATTAAAACAGAGTTTGTAATCCTTTATCTCAAGATTAAGATTATATTAAAACAGAGTTTGTAATAAAGTAGTGATATTATTTGTTACTTTTTATTTTGAGAAGATTTTTTAAAGATTAAAACTAGTTATTAAAACTAGTTACTAGTTTAAAATTAAATCTTCTTGTGTAAATAATAGTAAAGGAGAAAGTAGTGTATGTAAATTTACAGAAGTTAAATTTTATTCGGTATCAGCAAGTTCTTCAACAGTAAATATATCTAAAAACATTAGCTTTCCCTCTTCTTGTCTCAGTGTTTCCAGATGGGAATATTTTCACCTTGCTTTTGCTTATAAACTCTTGAGGTTTAGGCTCAGTCACCCTGAATATTTTGCGCTGCACTTTCCTCAGTAAAACCCTTACTCTTGTTTTGACCTTCAAACCTCACTGTTCTATAAACCTGCTCTTATATATTTACATGTGTGTGTGTTTACGTGTGCGTATATACACAAGCACAACAATTAACAACAAGAAAAGCATTCATAGGATTCTAGGCATTTACAAACACTCTTTGCTGTCCCACTGATATTATAATTTCAGGTACTCAGTGCTTTGAAAGGATGACTTCCCATAGGGATGACCAAAATGGTGGTAGTAGGGTTTCCCTAAGAGAGATTTTAAGGTCAGCTGAACGGCACATGATGCCTGCTCTCCACAGGGCAACCCCAGTAATTCTACGCAGGGGCTCAAGGTGACCAGTAAGGGAAATCCCATGTTTCAAAAGGTTGTAATCGATACCAGCTAGAGCACATTTGGAAGTGAGGCCATGGCGGATGAGAAGGAGGCAAACAGCTGAACACCACCCAGAATAGCTGCCCTCTTGCTCAACATTTCGAGTAAAGTTTTGTATTGCTGCAGGCATGAACCTAGACTGTAATGTAATTTCTGAGAGGTCATTATACCATATTTTGAAAAGTCTGGGGGATTATTACTGATTCTTAGCAAGAAGAGATACAAATGCTTATGTAGTGACTATAAAAGTAATGTGGAGGTTATGTTTTGTGAATTCAGCAGCAGCCAATGTTTGGTTGTATAGAAATTATATGTAGACATGACAAGTATTGTCATGATTTGAGTAAGTTACCTAAATTCTCCATTTTCTTCCAAAAATTATTGAGCTAGAATCTCTTTTGGGAAATTTTCTTTATCCAAACTGTGGCCATTCTGGCAGAAGTAAGAATAGTTCTCCTTGAATTACGATTTCTTATTGTATTTCACCAAGGCAAAGAACATGGATCATATGCGAGTTACATAGTTCCAAATTTGTCAGTTTTAGCTGCACATAAAAAGATTTACACGATCAACTACAAGTAATTTCTAAGCCTGTGTACCCAAACACTTGCTTTTGATCTTAAATTTTGCGAAATCTTTAAATCAAAGATTTAAGAGCAAAAAGGAATGGCTTCATAGTACAATAACTCTGGCTTCTGGGCACTTAGTAATGGCCAAAAATTGTTTGACTTCATCTAGTAAATAACGAGAGGCAGAAGAGATGCAAGAGACAGACAATTTAAAAGTCCTTATTTAATGCTTTGTCCTGAATTTTACTGAAAAGAACAGTATTGCTAGTATTTTGTATAAATTGTGTATTTATGATTCCGCATCTGTAAACAATTAGTATTAAACAACTTCATATTATTTTACATTGTAAAAATGTATAAACATGTTTTCTTTAGGATCATCAGTTATTTCTACTATTCTTTTAGCCCTGTACCAGGTCTATAGCAAGGAAGAATCTTCATTTTTGCAGATTACAGAGACAGATTACAGAGCTGCCTGTAAAATTTCAAAGGCATTAGACAGGAAATTAGAAAATCATTTTTTTTTAAATTTTGTTTCCACTAAAAAGGTAGTTTCTTCTATAATTTGTCTATCAATGAGAGAAACTAGAAGAGAATATATTCATCTACTTAGGGATGACAGACTCAAACCAAAAATTGCCGTATCATGCAAAATTAGAGACGTTTCATTTGGGGACTCACTTTGATCCCATCTTTCAACAATCCCTACTCTGCAAGAAATATTGCTACATATTCTATAATGGATGGATATCAATTGTTTTAAAAATTCAAATTCAACTTATTGAAATCATCTTATTGGAATGCCCACATAAGAACAAAAAAAAGCATTCTGAGACCAGAAATGATGCCAAAGCATGGCAGACTGTGCTGGGCAGAACTTATTTACACAGACCCACACATATACTTGACCAGCTTTCCCATTCAAAAATATCTTTAATTAGATGGAGCATTCTCCCAGTTAATTACCTGACTTCAATAATTTTGTGGGCCCTATAACAAAGCGTGGCATATGTCATACCTATGACAACAGAAACTGCCAAAAATTCATATTATTAGCTATGTAAGGCTAAGGGTTTTTTTACTAAGGGTAAGTATTATACATTTTTAAAATTGTGATTAAATGTCTAAAGCTTAAAAGTTATAGCTTACTCAACTGCATACTTCCTTGAAAATGTCTATAAGGAATTTTCCATGTTTCATTTACAAAATTAATTTTTAATTACGTTCGGTACTATACAAAATGTAATTATAGGAATCTAAATATCTGAAGCTTTCAACAACACATAAAAGTAAAATTGTAAACCATAAAATATTATAAACAAGTTAGTAAACTAATGCTAATACATCTGACTAATACAACATTCTAAGCAAATACTCATATTTCAAAATACTTTCTTTTTTCTGTGAAGATGTAAATTCATTGCAGACTTTTTTTTTTTTAAAAAAAAAAAAAAGAGGAAAAGCTTGCTGACCATTTCCATAAACATCTTTTCTTCGGGTTACACATATGTGGCAGGGAAAATTTCTTCAAAAAAATCAAGAGAAACCAAAAAACTAAATGCCACCAGTAGATTCAATTTTAAGTAAAAGTTGTAACACTTCCCAACAAAATCAGCAAGTCTGCAGAAATATAAGAAATTAAATTTACAGAAGGAACACGTGCAGAGCCACGTGTGCACGGAAGGAGCAGAACCCTATTCCAGCTGCATGACGTGCTCAGCCACCAGCTCTACCTGGGAAATCACAGATAACTGAGTTATGAAGTTATTTTAAGAGAGTGCACATAAAGCTCAGTTAAACTACTACCACTGCACATTTTTCATTTGGCAGCATAGCCGCATATACATATGGATAGTATGAGAAAGAATATTGAACATGATTATTAGTCATTAGATATTAACTACTTACTATTAAGAGCCATAATATTATCTGTTCCTGGATGATGGAAGTTTATTCCCATACGCCCTGGAATGTAAATAAAAGTTATTTTAAATATTTTTATTTCAAGACTAAATTAACTTCATGAATATTAAAGATTGCCAAAAGGGATGAACAGTTGGGGTAGCTGAAACTTCCATCTATAAAAGATACAATCCCGAGAGTACATACTTAAGATACTTAACACTGGCGTAGCTTTTATATTATGTATTTAAAATAATGAAAAAAAATCACAAAGTAAACAATATTTTTAGTACATCCTTTGTACAAGGAAAATAGTATGCTTACCCTCTCAAAATGGGGCTGCATAGCTCAGCCCACTGCTTGCTGCAGTTTTGCTATTTAAGATTTTAGCCTTCAAACAAGAAGTATAGCATTAAAAAGTACACATCATTGTAATGGCAACACTAAGTCACTACTTTCTATACCACCTCTGACACCAGAAGTCCTTGAGTCACAGATCACAGGAGACTGGGAGTGCTTACCCCATTTTTATATTTAACCTTAAGAATCTGCTACTGCTCATTGTTTGAGACAAGATACAGGGCTGCAGGGAGCACAGATATTCATATGTACATATTTACTGCTGGTCCCTAACACGAGAATGTAACATACAGAAGGTTCTCCCTGAAGCTCAAGCAAGCCCTGCTGCTCTGACACAGGTTTCCCAGGAGCTAGAGAGATGCAAAATAGCACCAGTTTTCTCAGGTGAGATTTCACTGTTGAAAGGCTGGCTGAGATGATCTCTGCTGATTTCAGGAATTGGAAACGGGAGGAAATTTAGTTATTTAGCTGGAAAGGTGCTAGCCCACAAAAAATCTGCTCTCTTTCAAAGGAAGAAATGAGCTAATTCTACTATTCAGGTTAGTTTTAGTTTCTTAGATTCTGAAGCTGAAGTATTAAGAAAACAAACCCTAAGGAAACAGGGAATTTCTTCAAACCATCCCCCTCTCCAGAATTGAAAGCTGTAATTGATATTAGTCCTTGCTTGGAAAAGGATTTTAAAAAGATCTTTACAGCCACTTAAAAATTATTTCCTTTTTATATTTTAGTTATGTACAAGGGCTGTAATCCATTTCATTTACTGCTTCTACGGTTAGATTTGGGGATATGCTTGGGTGCTAAGGAAGTAGGAGATTTACTTTTTTTTTTTTTTTTTTTAAACACATGGGCACTGGAGCCTGGGAGCTCAAGATCCTGGGCTGTACCAACGAAACAGAATAGCCAGCAAGCTCCTCCTGCGTAATTTCCCCTCTCTACTTCTACCAAAGCAAGTTTAACAAATCTGGTTTCATAGAACAGTACTGAAGCCAATCTTGAGGTTTCTTCTTCTCCGATATTTTCAGCTCCTACCAAGGAAATGAAGCCTTCTACTTGCAGCCACAGTGACTGCTGTGCGGTAATTAATACACTTTCTGAACAGATGTAACAAGAAGTTTCAGGACACTTCAGAAACCAAGACGCAAGCAGTTTTTAAAAAGCTAATATATTTTCTTCACATGATAAGTTTCTCATTCCTTTAGGAAAAAAAAAAAATGCCCCCACAGTAGGAGGGTAATGAAGGAAACAGCACCTCCAGGAAAGAAGCACGAGGGGAGAAGAAAGGAAAATAAAACTTCCATTTCACTTTTCAACCGCTTAGACAAAACTCCTTAGGAGATTGCCTATTGATCACAATATACCTCTACATTAATCTGACACAGCAGGACCATTAAACCTACCATTATTTCAGTTAGCCTGTTCTAAATATCTCAGAAATCTTGTCAGATTGATAGCAGTTCCCATTGCTTAACAGTATATTAATGAGCATGAGGTAACAGGTATTTTTAGAGATTGGGCATATATATTAACCTATACTTGCAAATTAATATTTATAAAAGAGGGGGCTGCCATGAAAAAGATCGAGTAAAGCAGGCAGGCTCCGTGGGGGCAGCCTCTCCTCCCTTGCTTTGCTGAAGCTGAAATTGTTCTGTTTGAGCAGCTACAGAAATAGAACCGTATCTGTGACATCTGGGTTGGGGTTTCTCTCCCTGCAGGCAGTTGCTGAGCCAGGTGCTGCTTGCCTGACATTTTATCACCTGCCCTTGGCCTGCTATTTTTAAACTGTTGTCAGCTATCTTTTAAGAGCAGCAGCAAATACAGGCACAAGCAGGACGTGTTCTCATATGAGCTAAGCGATAGCGGGGGCTAATTCTGGGCGTCTTCAGAGAACCCTCAATCCCACAGCAACAAACCAGGGAAATACTATCAAAACACACTTGTACTAAAAGCATTCAAAGAGACTGGTAACGCAGCAGGCATAGGAAAATTAGTTACCTTTTTATACAGCCTTTCATATTAAATACATTACTTGAATACATTACAAATTATTCACGCGAAAAAAAGCCACATGAAGAAGTCAGGCATAATTATCTAAGGAATAAGAAGAGAGCATGAAACTAAAATTATTAATTTATATATTGATGCAGCATAAAACTGCACAATGCAGTTAGAAACATTTGAAGAAAAATATCTGGGTTAAATGCAAGACAACATGTCGCAGTAAAAGCACCTGTATGCTGCCTAGCCCTCTAAAAAGTCGGCATAAGCACACGTTTCCAACTATAGCTTTTATATGAAGTCTCTGGATAAAATTTCTACCCTCCAAGACCCTTGAGCACAAGCAGAACTGCACCTCAGTTAGGGCACAGAGGCTACTCCAGCCGTTCCCTGAGGTCAGCAGTAGGAACCCTTCCAATAACAAGGGCCCAGGGTTTGTATTCAGGGTGCATCTGCCACTTTCAGTCTGCTCATCTGGGTTTCAGAACTGTCTGCCAAATAGATTTTCAATTATATACTTTTATAACACATTTATTACTGTACTTAGGCTGCAACAAAAGCTCTTTAACACAAGTCTCTTCAACAGCTAATTTAAAAAAAAAAAAACAAAAAACCCACCCTGAATCCAGTTGCATACTTCCACTCTTGAAGTATTTCAGAGCACAAACAAGGGTGCAAACATTTCTACATAACCCAGGCTGCTATTTGCATGATCCTTAGGCCATCACATCCCCTGAATTCTCTCTCCTAAGGGCCTGGGAAGGATTTCCCTGCCTAGACGCTGTGTGCCCAGGATCATGCTTGCCATGGCGAACACCTCAATCTTCGGGGCCATCCCAAGTGCTCCAAGCACATACATTTGTTCTGAATGATAATACAAATTTCTGAAATATACTGAAAATAACAGTGTATTAACTTAGAGGAATTAAATGAATTTATATCGACTATTTTCCTGATATATTTGTTTTCAAAATCATTTCAGAGCTGTCTATACTCTTGGCCAGTTTACAATTACTTAGGTGGAAATGCTTTCAACAGAAGATAAATTTAATTTTCAATGAGAACAGGTCTGCAAATTTTACAGTGAATATTGTCTGCCATTTTTCCTGTTTTCCTATTTTCTAAATCCAGACAACACATCTGCCATAGAAAAACACATCCTTCACTTTCTTTAGCTTTGACACATGCATTTCTTTTACTCTGTCCAGATGTTTCTAAAGAAACTCCGAGAGGGCATAGGTCAGGGGCTGGTGATTGATACTGTGTGCAAAATCATCACTGTTTGAACTCATCCTTTTCTCTCTAGAAGAGAGTGCTGTGATTCTGAAACAATTTTTACATCTTCTCCACAACTGCAGGAAGCATACTTTTCCCACAGTTGAACATTCCTGTTAAGACTTTGGCAAATAGGTAACCTAATTTTTTTTTTTCCCGAATTGTCTGGATAACTTTTTTTTTTTTTTCCGAATTGTCTGGATAATTTCAAGTTACACAAACGCTATTCAGAAAGAATGTAGTTGCAAAAATTATAATCCTGGATATCAGGCCCAGGTTTACTACTATCACAGGATTTGGCAGTGTCATGCTTGCCTACAGTGGTCACATTCTTCATTTTAAATCCTCTTAGTGAGCTGTATATAACTATCAGTAAAATTGATCTCTGACTTCATCATTGCATTTTTGTGATGGTATTGCTATTATTTTTCTTTGTGTCTGAAACATAACTTGGAAACACTAATCACCAACCAGTTCCAGATCTGCAAATAAAAATTTTGCTTTAAGAGACTTCGGAATGGTAACAATCTTTTCTTAAATGCATTTTTGTCTATTTTTTTTTGCACTTGTTTTTAACTATCGGACATCAACATCCACACAGTGAAGGATTTTTAACAGTATAGTTAGCTATTTGCATCATTTTAAGTAGACATTCCAAAAATCTTTTTTTTTTTTTTTTTTTTTTTTGTTATACACTCAGGAAACTTCTTGCACGCTGTTACACCTCATGACTTTCACCAGGACTGACCAGCTACACTAACACAACAAATGGTATTTGACATGACTGTCTGAAACAGTGAAGTTGTTTCCTACTTCTGATCTGTTTGAACTTCCTGGGAACAAGAACTTGCTCTCACATTGACTGGATGTCAGCTACAAAGTTAGGTCAAGAGGTTCCAATGGAACTGGCAACAGGACTAGGGCAACTACACATCCTTTCTGTATTTGCATAATAAGTATTCTATATTTTTTACTTCTTCTATCATAGGTTGACGCCATCCATAGACTTCAAGGTTGGTGCCAACAAAAATCAATGCAAAGCAGCAGCAGTTATTTGGAGGAATAGGTTACATGTGTGGTATAAAGTCAAGCTCAGGCACAGAAAGTGCAAAACTCAAGGTATGGGCATCCCTCCTTCAGACATCTGCAACGGGGCTCTAGTTTGTAACCCAACTCAGCAAACAAAATACTAGTGGCTCACCCACAAGCCTCTGCCCCATGGTTCACAAATGACCAAAAAGATGCTGAAAAGTAGCAATGATTTAAATTGTTACAAAATCATTTAAATTATTTTTACTTCAGTAGACCACAGATCATTCCCTCTTCCTTCTTTCCCCAAAAATAGAGACACTCACACTGATGCTGCACTAATATACAGGCCTCAAATAATTTCAGCCAATGGGCTCATGTAAGGGTCTGTAAGCACTTCCATA